CTAGCAACGCGTCCGTTGCGGATAGCCGAGGACGTGCCGCGCAGCGACAGGACAAGGTCGAGGGTCTGTTTGCGACGGCTGATCATAGGTGAAGGCTTGCTGTCGTCGGCTGAAGGACAGCATACGGGTAGCACGGGCCTGTTCACCGATGTCACCCCATGAAAAATGCCAAGGAAACAATGCGGACTAGTGGCGCAATCAAGGATAAATCTGCGATCTTGTGTGGCATTCTTCACCACAAGGGCCTGGTCTGGTCAAGAACCGCCAGCAGCTCTGAGCCCACAAGTCGATCATATACAGCATCGGCACGCCGAAGATCTTCAGATATCCGTTTCGAAGCAGTCAAGGAAGCAGGGACGGTTGCGCCATACGTTATCCAACACCTTCTGATGCAGAACAAAGACTCGACATGGGATCAAAGAACTGGGACGGCGCAAAGTACCCACTACCGATATAGCCAAAGACAGAAGAAGTCGATGCTATCGGCAGAAGCACTTTTCCCCTTTATTTTGTGAGATTTAGTTGTAGACCCGTTTCCGCGCAAAAGAGGTGGCATTATCAGGTCAAGATCCCATGATCAGAATTTCTTTCTCTTTGGGCATGTCGGTGTTTCATAAGTGAGATGCCACCCGTAACCCCCATCGACTCCAGCAATGGAAATACTAGAGACGCTCGAAGAGCCCTCGCGACACGTTCCTCTTGACTAGGGACAGAGACGATTGGTCCATTGCAGGGACAATGCTTGGTAGCGGTAGCGGAAAGGCCCGGCCCGGCGAGCCGTGATCTCGATGCCACTCGCACGAACAATGGCAAAGGAATGACGCGGAGGGCTGAATCAAAGGTAACCGGTAAATAGCCACGTCGAGAGTTGGATAGGCGCATGGTGCGCTTAAGCACCTGGTATACAAGGCCGGTACGACCAAGATTTTCAAAGTCGAGCGCTGTACAATCTCGCCCAAAACAGAACAAAGCGACGATAAGGAAGCAGATCTAGAGGAGTCAGGACTAGAATGGCGAGGTGCTAAGAAAAGGCAAGCCCTTCGGGAGGAGAAGATGAAGCTCCTTTGCTTCCTGAGACGCGAAACGAGCAGTGCAGTCCAATCGAGAACCGCTGACTAGCGTTCCTCCCGAGTCCTCTGCATGACTAGATCAACATCTCGAGCTCTTGGTGCTCCAGGCCTGTATGCAGGTGTCTAGACCAAAAGCAGCTAATGGCAGGTGCTGGCATGATGAGCAATAAGGAGAGTTGTCGCCATTCATTTCCCGGACTGTGGGGACAGAAAAGAACAAGGCAAGACAGTAAACACCCTACCGGAACGAATGAGCGGTTTTTGAGGTGGCCAGGTATGGTTAAAGGGGACAAAGCCACAAGATATTATAATGAGTTCCGGAAGACATGACGACTGCGTCCCCTGCCTATCCTTGATTGCGAAGGAACAGTCCTGGTTCGCTGAGGTACAAGAGAGAGATGCAGTTAGAAGACGCCAAAGAGTAGATCGATTAAGTATTCCAAGGTCAAGTCTCGGGTCGCGTCCAAGACAGCCATGCTTGAGCTCCAGACTTCGTCTCACTGTCCCTCAAGCAGACCCTTCAGCGCGACCGCCTGCGCATCAAACGCCTCCTGCAACCCCTGCTCATACAGCACCTGCAACTCCGGGGCCAGCGCACCCGAGTACGCCTCACGGCTCTCATACAGCGTCTTATTCGCATCTGGCCCGACCGCGATGACACTCACCGCGGACCAACGCTCAGCACTCAGCACCGCATCAGGCAGGGCGATCTGCTTCCACGCGACACGGTACAAGTCGGGCTCAAGGTGCGTGATGTTCTCAAAGGAGATCTGGGCATGCAAAGGGTCGGACGGGGTGCTCGCGGACACGGGCAGCGGAAGGGGCGGGATCTGGACTTGGAAGACAGCGCGTATATTCTCCGCGACAGTTTGCTCGGAGGCAGGAAGGGGGATGAAGGCATCGTCGGTGAGCACGGCGGAGCTGTGCGTTCGTTAGAACATTTAATGTGGGAGGAGTAGTGGGGTGAAGACGCACCGGACGAAGGGGTTCCAGGAGGGATAGGAGGGGAAATCGAGCACGGCGGCCCAGACGGTGTCGATGGGCGCGGAGATGGCGACTCGGGTGGATGCGTTGAAGAGCTCCGGTCCCGGCGGTGGCAGGTTCGTCTGGTTGGTACGCGGCGGGGTCGGGACGTCGGCCGCGGCCGCGAAGCTGACAGTGGCAGCGGCGATGAATGCACGCACGAGGAACATAGTGCGCAGTAGACTCAAGCTCGTTGCCCTGCAGATGCTGGGATATGCTGTATATGTAGTGGACGCAGTCGAACGACAGAGCCGCCATTTCACCTGGTCAAGATTCGAAAAAGTATTTTCTGCATGAGCATGGGAGTCGCCAGATTCCAGCTGACCATTGCAAGAAGGAACATGTGAAAAGACTCAGTATCCAGACAAGCGATGGTATGGTGCGAAGGAGAGAAGCCAACGCCACCGACGCGTCCAAGCCAGCGCGTCCATGCCGACCTTGTCCTGGCCGTCTCTCTTCTCCTCCGACGCCCTCGTCCTGCTCGCTCTTCTGCTCATCGCGCTAGCCTCTCTCAAGCTGCTCCCGCTCCGCGAGATTTACGACACAGTCAACTCCCGCGTCTCGCCCCCATTCTCCGTCCAACATGCCGTCAACTCCTACTCGCAATACAGCCGCCTCTCCAAGCAGGAGCTGGGCCGTATGCGCGCCAGCTATACAAGACTCTTGAGTTGGCAACAGAAACGCGTCGCCTACGACATGGGCTACACAAAGAAACTCAACCGCTACGCTGAGGTCATCGACTTGAACGCGCAGTTCTTTGCCAAGGTCTGCTCGCTTGCGGAGTCTCAGTATGGCGTCTCTCCGTTGCCTGGTGCAGGCGACCTGACCCGCGTCCGCGAATCCCTGCGCCACCTCGTGCGCGACTGGTCCGCCGAAGGCGCCCGAGAGCGGCAGATCACCTACGCATCCATCCTGTCCGCTCTCGAAACCCTCTCGCTGCCCCAAGGCTCCTCCATCCTGCTCCCGGGCGCGGGTCTCAGCCGCCTCGCATACGAGCTAGCTCTGCGAGGATACGCCGCCACCGCCTGCGAGCTCTCCGCCTACCAAAACCTTCTCTTCCACCTCGTCCGCTCCTGCTCCCAAGCAAACCAGTACTCAATCTACCCCTACGCCCACTGGTTCTCACATTCCCTCTCCAGCGCCGACCTCTTCCGCCCCGTCCAGATCCCCGACGTCGTCCCCACCCACCCCATCACCCTCCTCTCCGCCGACTTCCTCTCCCTCCCCGCTCAACCCACCCACGACGCCCTCATCACCCTCTTCTTCATCGACACCTCCACAAACCTCCTCTCCACGCTCACGCACATCCACGCGCTCCTGAAGCCTGGCGGAACGTGGATCAACCTCGGCCCGCTGCTGTGGACACCGGGGCAGCAGGCGGCGATGGAGTGTAGCCTGGGAGAGGTGCTGTGGGCGTCGGAGAGGACGGGATTTGTGTTCGAGGAGCAGGCGGGCGGTGGGAAGACGCGTACGGTCGAGTGCGAGTATACAGCTGACCCGAGGGCGATGATGCGCTGGGTCTATCGGGCTGAGTTCTGGGTGGCAAGGAAAGCATGAGGGAAGGTCAGTGATACTAGGAATTGGCAGAAATGGGCAGCTGCACAATGAGCGTTAGTTGCTGGCAACCTGAGCTGTCTAAGGGAATGCAAAAATGCGGGCACTAGCTGACTAGTTTCATACAAGTACGTGGACCAAAACCGAAAATGGGATATCAAATTTTCAAAGGCCAATCCAGGGTTCGAACATGCGCTATCCGAAGACCTTTGACCAGTCTTAGGGCCGCCAGCTTCGGACGCGGAGTTTGTGGTCGATGGGCCAACTTGAGAGGCCTCTGTCTGGTACTTTTCGGCTTCGTTGCTGTCGCCCAGAGCACCCTTGGGAGATTTTGCGGACTTCTTGGTCGAACGAACCGTTGTTTCTCGAGGATTGTTAGCTCTCTTTGCTTCCGACGGATCTTTGCTCGTTGAACAAATTGTGGTTCAGCCATCTGTGTCGCCTGAGTGTGATGGCCGCTGCAGATGAGGAGTTGCTCCCGACTTATAGGTCTCCCAGAAGATCAGCCCCTTATGTTCTCGGAGACGAGCCTGATAGGAGGAAACTTTGATTGTACTGGGTCACATCAAGCCCAAGGAATATGCACAGAAGTCCCTCCGGTATGACAAGCTAGCTGTCAGGGACCGTCTCAAGTCCGGGATATGCCTGTAGAATTCCTCCTCTCTAACCTCCGTAGCTTGTATACCAATGGTGAAGCACGGTCTTCAAGTACCGCAATCATTGAGGACGTTCTACGGCGAATAGACTTGATAAAGCTCCCTTGCAGACCGGAACGGAGCTCTCCCCGGGCCAGACGCTCCAAGTTCTCAAGAAGGACAAGGATGACATGACATGGAGGCGAAGCCGGGAGTGCCTAGCGACGCCTAGAAACTGCTTCAATAAGTTCTATCGCAAAGTAAGTTTATACCCGTTGTAGTATGTACGAGTCTTTTTTTACCCACCCTACTGGCTAGATTAGAGTCATCGCTGTGCTCAACCTTGCCTGGTCACCGGACACGTCCATGGATAATGGTAGAAGAGGTCGATTCCATGAGGAGGCTGTTCTGGAGCTATGATGGGGGACAATTTTTCCTACCAACCACCTTTGATCTCTAGAAGCAAACTTTGCTGAATATTGGTCATTATCTGGGCGGGCATACTGCGCCGTGTTGACGATGGTGAAGGCTTTCCTGCTCCGAGGGGCGCGTATACGACATATTGCAACTTGACCTATGCTTCCCATCAAACTCTGAGTGTGTCTCGTTATTCTATTGTATGCCTTCGGGTGTTCTGCGTGCTACCTGTGGTGTATCCCAAATACACTGCAAAACTGCAAAATGATGAGGTGCTTTCCCAAGAACCTTTCTCAGTCAGAGGCACTGCCAGGGATCGAACCTGGGGCTTGGGAAATCAACAAAGTCAAAATCCCACGTGATAAACCGCTACACTACAGCGCCGTGGCATTTTGCCACACAAAAAGTTATATATTCAATAAAAGCGTGCACAGGCACCCATTCTGACCACTGCAGCACTCCTGGTTCTGGGAAGTACTTGCTCGCTTATCTGTCCTATGCTATGTGTTTGACAATGACTGTGATACCATTTCTGCTGTCTCGCGTGGTCTAGCTGTCTCCGTTTCCGCTGCAAGGTATGTTATATATCTTCCATGTTAGTAGTCTCTTCATTCTGATATGCGTAATATAATAAGAACTCGTTATTCTGGCCCTCCGGCTTAAGGCCTCAAGCGCAAGGCTGAGATCCTTGACGTTACACGTTCTGTGGCGGAGAAGCGACGCCTATGTGCAGATGTCTCGCTCTTGGGACAATGTACACATGGCGTCTACAGCCTCGTCACTGACCACTCCAGGAGGTAATGGCCACCGCCGGTAGGTCGGTTGAGATCTGGCCTATCAACTTGCACAACCCTAGCATCAACGCGGACCCTGCCTTTCTCGAAGATGCTGCCATTCCACAACTCGTCCCAGCTCTCAGGAGAGTGAGCAAAGGACTGCTGACCTCTCGCATTCGTCCGCATGCCTTTCTGAGGCAGCCCCCTGTGCGATCCGAAGATGATCGAGCCGGGCTGCGGGGAGAGCAGGGATGCCATCCGTTGCGCGAGCTCAAATTGTCCCGCCTCGTCGAACAGGTGGAAGAATGCGGAAGCGTGGACGGCAGAGACGTGGCCTATGAGAGGTGTTAGGGCGGTCACGGATTGCAGGTCTGGTACTGGCGTTGTTGGAGGCGAGTAGGTAGGCTGTGTGGGGGTTAGGAACTCGGAGTCGAAGGCGTCTCCGGCGACAAAAGGGACAGGGAGGCTTTGAGGAGTCGATCTGAACAGTTCGTGACCAAGCTCCCAGTATTCTGTCAAGTGTTTGATCAAAGAATATACGTTCGCAGGCTTTCCAAGGGCCTACCTGGGCGTAGGTCGGAGGCGATGACGTTACGGATAGGATATCCATCTGCTACGGCCTTGCGAGCGTCGTTACCGACTGCGAACGTATGCGTTAGCGGCAATATCATGAGTATGCCTCGTGTTCGCAATACTCACAGCAGCAACCAATGTCCAGGAAGATGGCTGGATCACGCGTTTTCCCAAGCTCGAGGAAGTGCGGATATGCAGGCAGACGGGAGATCTTCAGCCTTTGTTACCGCCGTCAGATAGTTCAAGAGCGCAGGTAACCCCAAGGTACTGACTTGGCAAATGCAAAGCGTCGGATGCACGGGTACGGGTAGACCTAGCGGGTGCAAAGTAGCGGCATACGTTGAATTTGAACGCTTGTTCTGTCACGATTGGGATCATACTGACTTTATAAGCCTTCTCTTGTACCGCCAGTATGTGCTTCTTCAGTTCCTCGTCGTCGGCGATCCCGATATGAGACTTGAAGAACGCCGATTCTTCATCGTCAAGAACATACAGGGTCGGATCTAAAGGTGACACTTGTCCCACTGACATCCTGGAAAAGCACAATGATGAGAAAAGAGATCAGGATTAATCACCGTCCGCGCGTGCAGTTTCGAAGGACTCGGAGACTGTTACTGCCGCTAGTGCAGCGTCACATTGCTCAAGTACCTGGATTATTCACAACTGGTCGCACGGTAGTATCGCTCCTTAAGCAGAAAGGAGCGATACGCCGCGTGAGCTTGAGGACATAAATAAAGGGTTTCGGAGATATGATAAATTTGGAAAGATAATACCTAAATTTGGACACGAATTAGGATAACTCTGCTCGAGCCTCATCGTCTCGCCTGGCCTTATATAGTCGGACAGAAGTCCAGCTCGCCCTTTCCAGACGTCAATTGAGACGGAAGAAAGAAGAGGCTCACCCAGTGCCTGCAAGTTTGAAGATCAGGTAAATACCAAGCTATGGATACGAAAGGATCAAAGCAAGACTGTTCTTAAAACATACCAGCATGCTAGTATAGATACATCTGCGGCCAGGCACCTCATGTACTTGGAATCATCCTAACATAAATCAATGGAATGACCAAGGCAAAATTAGAAACCATAACTAAAGAGCGAGGTTCCGGGTGAGAGCAAATAAATCATACCCCCAAGCTAGAGCCTTATCACTGACCATACCAGCAGATACGCTTCCTCTGTCTGCGAAAAGTCCGGCCGACCGACGCGTATTAGTTGCGAATCCACTTGGACCTTGCCTTTCTGAAAGACTTGACCGTTCCAAAGGTCTCTCCAGCTTTGGTCAGAGTGACAGAAAATATCTCTGCCATTTGTTGTCCTCCTTGAAGTCCTAACGCTTTTGTGCGGTTGACCCACGTGAGAGCCAAATATTATCGAGCCTGGTTCTGGGGAGAGCAATGACGCCATTCGCCGCGCCAGCTCAAGTTGTTGCTCCTCGTTGAATAGATGGAAGAAGGCCGAGGCGTGGATGGCGGAGATGTGGCCAATTAGAGGTGTCAAGGTGGTCAGAGAGCGCAATACAGGAGCACGGTTTGAACTAGGAGCGTAGGAAATCTGGGCTCGAGCTAAGAATGCGGAGTCGAAAACGTCTCCTTGGATGAACGGCACTGAGAAAGTCTCCGGCGTGGACCTGAATAGCTCGTGTCCAAGATCCCAGAACTCTGTCTCCGCACAGTCGTAGGTATCAAGAAAGGTTTTTGGCTGTTATATCTTAGGAGACTCACCTGAACGTAGGTCGGAGGCAATTACCTTGTCTACAGGATAACCATCCGCTACGGCCTTACGGACGTCGTTACCAACTTAATGTTGAGCCGTGAGCATGGATCCTTAGAGAAAAAGGAAATACCAACAGCAGCAACCAATGTCGAGAAATATAGCAGCGTCTCTATCTTTACCAAGCTGCAAGAAGTGCGGGTAGGAAGGCAACCGGGATATCTTCAGCCTAAACATAGACATTTAAGTCAACTATTCTCCAGAGCCTACTAGGCGACTTACTTTGCAGAAGCGAAGCGACGAGTACACGGGTATAGGTGTACCTAAGGCGCTCCATAGTGGCGTTAACTGGAGAATGTTTCTTGACGAAATCAGATCCTTGCCTTGTAAGCCTTCTCCCAGACGCTCAGGATGTGCTGTTTCAGCTCGTCATCATCTATGATCCCTGTCTGGGACTTGAAGAAAGCAGATTCCTGGCCATCAAACGAATATAAATTAGGATTCAAAGAGCCGCAGGAGGTATGGTACTCACGGACTCGAGATCAGACATTCCGAGCAGCTAGATAAATAAGAGTTGATAATGAATATTCTTGCAGACGACAAGATGGTAGTTTGGAACAACTACGCCAGCTCATGATAAGAGACCTGAACTTGGACTGGTACAGCATCCTAGCGGCCTATTTTTGAAGTCCATGTCGATGTCCGGTGAAGAGTCGGGATATACGTACTTAGCATCTTGACCGCAGCGGGCGAGTCACGCATCACACTCCAATCATTTTGCCAGTTGTATCCTCCACAGCATCAAATACATTGAACGGCACGAGCAGCGAGACTAGATAATGTAACGCGAAAGAGTAGATGGAAGCGCGAAAATTATTACATCGCCGTATAGCATCGTTACAGTCCGTTCTAAGGGTAGTCGAGGGGATCAGGATATCGATAAGGGAGGGCATACAGTACGGAGATGAGAGCGAGAGCGAGGGAGGAGAGAGAGAAATACCGTAAGCAGGACAGAACAGGCCCCAAGTATGAACATAGGATAAGCGAACAATAAAGAGGGCGTAGAGCGAAAGGCAAGTCGATAAAGATGGAGTCAACCAATAGCCCAAGTCCGTATCACGACGTCGGATCCGAAACCGGCAAACTTCCATCCACTCGTTGAGGTGAGTAAAAACACTGGACATCGACATCATCGTGGTCGTCGCTTTTGAGTTTCGGGTTCGAGAATCCGCGCGGACTCAGCAGGCTGGCAGCTATGCACAAGGGGTATCCAAAATCAACAGGGTAATCCACAGCGCGTGTGCATCGTTTCGTTCAAGCGGCGGCCTCGGCCGCCACGTCGACGTATGAGTCCGCTGACCCAGGCGCGTCCTCGGCGACCAAGCCTTCCACGTGTTCGCCGTGCTCGACCCCCTGAAGTTCGCCTTCACCTCCTTCTGCACCATTGTTCTGTCCACCAGCATTCTGGTTGCTTCCGCTTGCTGACCTTCTCATGCCTCCGCCCTGGGGACCTTGCCGGGGAGCGTTTGCGCACCGGTCCTTACCATGGGCAATGCGCAGGTTCGCATAGTCGGGTTTGTTCTTGATGCTCTCGATAGCCTTGATGGCGTTCTGAATGTTGGTGAAGTTCACGAACGCACAGTTCCTGAGGACAGCGTCAATAAACTTGAGGTTCATCACGCCAACCGGAATACTTACTTCTCCTTCAAGAAGTTGACAAGCTCAATATCTCCGTACTCGCCAAAGTCCCTCTTGAGCTTCTCGTCGCTGAACGTCTCAAAGTCTTCGATATTCCCGATATAGACATTCCTAGTTGCGCCGCCATGGACAGCGAGCGCAAGCGACGGCGGTAGAGACCCAGGATTCTTCCCCCAGCCAATCTTCAGCCGGCGGTTGTTGAGCGTCAGGCCCTGGTAAGAGGCCACTTGGAAGAACGTGAGGGCCGCAGCGGGGTCGACGAACGTCACGAACTGCAATCTGATTAGATGTGGCAGTGCGCATCAGAAACGTCTAGACTTACTGCAATATGCTTGTCCGACATGTACCGAATGCTCTGCAAAACGCCTCCGCGGATGGCATTGCACAAGTCCTCAGTCGTCGTCTCGGGATGGATGTTGCCGAGATAGACGGTCCTGTTCAGGCCCTGACCTGCACCCATGCCTCCCATACCGCCCATAACGTCGGGCGAGAAAGAGGCCGCGTACGGCGTGAAGGGCGAGGAGAAAGGCGCGGCTTGGGACACCAGCGACTGCGCCGCGGCGGCCTGTGCAGCCTGGGCGGCAGCCTGCTGAGATTTTGGGATATATGCGCAGCGATCTTTGCCGT